CTGCCATCACGTGGCGCTCTCCCTGTGTGTCTGCACATGGTCTTCCCTCCATGGGGTCTGTCTCTGGGTCTCTCCTCTTCTTCTAAGGGAACCAGTCGTATTGGATTCGGGCCTCCACCTTAACCTGATCATCTGCAAGGACCCTATCTCTAGATAAGGTCACCTTCACAGGTACGGGAGTTAGGATGTGGACATATCCTTCTTGGGGACACGATGCGGCCCATAACAGAGAGGGAGGGAGGCAGGAGGGGAGGCAGGAAGCTCCGTGATCTGGGGTGCTGTGAAGCTGAGATTCGCTTCCAAAGCCCAGGCTGCTTCCTGCGCCCGCCGGGCTGACACACACTTTCCGACAGAGGCTCTAGGCTGCTCCTGCGCCACTGAGTCCGGAAGAGGACCAGGAGGGCTGCACATGGCCTGGCTCTGGGGCCTTCAGTCTCAGCGAGAGTGCGGCTTGTCTTTGGGTCTCTCGGCTTATTTCTCTCTCATCTGCCCCCTCTTAGCCACCGTTTGATACCCCTCCACACTTTTGGATGTCTAGTGGCCAAGCCTTTAATAAAAACTCGGGCATCAACCACTTCCGCTTGCAGGAGACTGAATGTTTCTTGAAGGAGTGGGGCATGGGGTGGTGTTACTGTCTCTGGACACTCCTCCACCGTGGGAATCAAGGCTTTGTCTTCTCCCAAAGGAGCCGGGGCCCCACGAAGCAGGAGGCAGGTGTGGGGTGGTGGGAAGAGTGTAGCCTTTGAGTGGCCATCTGGCGACTGCAGGTGCAAACCCACCTCATTGCGTGTCAAGGGCACACGCACAGCCCAGGCCTCACCCAGACCACTGTAGGAGATCCTCCACGCTGGGACCCAGATCCAAGTCTTAGCATCTCCCCAGGCAAGTCTGGTGGTCACCTGTGCTTGTGGCCCAAGGACCGACTATTGCCAGTGGCTCTGTGAGGCTCGGGTCCAGGTAAAAGCACCCACCCTGGCCTGCCCCGGTTCCCGTTCATGTCCGTGAGCTCGCTGACTGCACTCAGATGCCACCTCCTTTGAGGGCCCGGGCCGTGGCTTCCTCGGACCTTGCTCCTTCCCTGGAGGACAGCGGGGCCCCAACACGGCTGATGCCTTGGCCGTGGGGACATGTGCAGAGCAGGGGGCCTGATTCGCAGTGTTCACCTGCTCCCCTTGTGCAAATACCTGCGCTACGGCCACCTGTGTGATGTCGGTAACTGCAGGGTGGGGAAGAGACGCGCAGGCCACCTGCCCTTACGAGCTGGTCCGAGATAACTCCAGCGCCTGAGCCCCCCTGGGACTATCCGAATCTGCCGTGACATCTCCGCCTTCTCCCCATTCCCAAATCTCACTCGGAGAGAGAGGAGGGAGAAGGCAGACACAGGAAGAGGTTGGGGGGCCCAGCTGGGAGGAGGGCTTGCCCTCTGGCAGGCAACGTGACCTGCCAACCCCCCCATGAGGCTCCACTCCTGCCGCCTGCTCTAATAAACTCGAAACTCCAGTGAGTTAAGTGAAGATTTCAGATTAACATTTAAATTAGCGCCGGACTAGAAATCTGGAGCCCGGGTCGCTGATGTAACTCTGTTAACTTGTTCTGTGACCCGGGGCGGAAATTTAAAATGATCTTTTCTCATCGAGCCACCCCACCCCTCTGTGGGGAGGTCAGAGACGGCAGACCTGGGGGACCTCACCCCCTCTTGGCCTGTCCTGGAAGCCCAGTGCTTCCATGAGGGTGCGGCTCCCCTTTGACCCTGAGACACTGTCCTTGACCGGTGAGCGTGGACCCTCCTGCCCCTGGGGGCTGGGACTCCAGGCAGGTGGTGCCAGAGAAGAGAAAGGAAGGAGCTATCTGATGGAAGCCCCTCCTCCCGCCAGTCTGACCACCAAGGATGCTTGTGGGTGATCGATGACACTGCCATCGACTCAGTCACCCCAGGGCGAGCCCTCTTCAAGGAGTCCTCCTTTACACGGCCTGTCCTGGTGCTCCTAAAACACGGGAACTGAGCTGAAGGGAACAGGGCATTAACACAGGACTGGATGGCTATGGGGCCAGGCTCTCCCAGTGCCTGCCAGGTCAGCCTTGCAGGCTCCAGAGAGCCAAAAATGCTGCAGACCCGGCCGGAGTTGGAAACGTGGGTTTACAGACACCCGCCAGAGCTGCTCGGGGTCTGGGTTCCCAGGTGGGTCACCAGGTCAAGTCAGGGCTTCCAAGAACCTGGACTCTTCCAGAGGGGGCAGGGAGGGGCCGGCCCTGGCTGGGGAGCTGCGTGTGCCTGCCGGTCATGCTTTATAGAAGGGACAACGCACGATAGAGCAGGATGTGAAGCCACTTGCAGCTAAGGGCAGGCCACATCCCTTTCCCTGGCCACACTGCTGTCCTTGAGTGTGGTGTGTCCTGCTCACAGCTGTACCAGGAAGGGCGGAGGCATCACCTGAGCACAGGGCTGCCAGGGCTCTGGTGGTGGCCCTGCTGGACCCAACCCTGCTCTCAGGGCCCCTTTGCACCTGCCTGCCGCTTCCCCGTGAGGCTGGAACACGTCTCCTCCTCAGCAGCGGCCTCCCTCACACTGACCGTTCCTTCTCTGCTTCCAAGAGACAGGTTCCCTCCGTCTTCCCGTCAAGGAGTAGGGACATCAGGAACCTCTAGACATCGCGTCCCTCCTCCTGCTCCTGTCTAGCCTGGACTGTCTAACGGCCTGTGCTCTTGGCTGTCCGCAAGGATCCTGAATGGCCCTCAACAGGCAGTGCTCACCCTGGGTTTCTGCCCAAGAGGCCTCCTCGCCCAGCCTGCTGGGCCATGCGCCCCCTGGGAGGCCCCTGGAGGTGCACCCTGCGCAGATGCTCTCCCAGTGAGCCTCTGGCCCCATCAGCGGGCTTCCCGTGGCTGGTCAGGGACCCCACTGAGAGAGCTGACGTGGGATGATCTTTCCTGATTCCTGCCCTGGAGGCACAGGGTTGTATTCGTCCGGGAGTGTAGTAAACTCGAAATAGCAGTGGCTGAGCCATGGAGGATGGAGAACTGCTCTCCAGGCCGGCAGGGTGCTGCCCACAGTCCCCGGGACCCAGGCGCCTGCAGTTCTTTACCCTGGCCAAAGCTCCCCTCATGGCCAAGCTCCGTCCAGGCTCCAGGAGTGGGATGGGGTGGGACAGCACCTGGACCAAGGGCCAGTGCTGGCACTCTTCAGGAAGGTTCTGGAACTTGTGGTTCTAGAGCCAAGATACATGGGCGCGCTGAGCTGTGAGGAGCTGGAAAGGAAGTGTGTGTCCTCCGATGTGTGGCTCTGAGTTCCTTTACGAGGGGGAGGGGAGAGCAGCTGTGGGAGGCGGCCTGGCCTCTGCACACTGCAGACAGTGTGCACACTGCAGAGCACTGGGCTGCCCAGGCAGTCCTCAATGCCCAGCAACAGGCCGACAAACCCCCTGCCTCCTGCTGGCATTGGCCTTGGAGAGACAGGGGGCCTGGGGACCCAGAAGGACTGTGTGACACTCACCGGACATATCGTTCCATAACAGGGGATCATAATGATCAGCGACTGCTCCCGTTGATGGAGAGTCACCTGGCCAGTAAGGGACAGAGTCAGGACGGCAGGTGGATCTTGCCCACGTCAAGGCCTGAGCTCTCCCTCTGGATACTGAATTGATGGCTGACCCCGGGACACTTGCGACAGGCATGGGGTAACTCAAGGAGTGGAACCTGGGAAAGTGACTTCCTCTCTAGCCACGGCTGCGAGGTGGGGACAGTGCCAGGGTGGCTCTCCCGGGGCTGTGAGGAGCATGGAGTGTAGGACGCATGGATGCACCACACGGTGCATATCTGGGTGGCAGCCAACGGTCTATAGCATCAGCTGTCATCATCATGACAATAGGTGGCCTCTGTGGTCACGAGTGCAGGCCGAGCCGTCAGCCATCGTGTTTCACCGTATAGGCAGGAAATAGCACTGAAAACAGTCAGCAGTGCCAGAATTCGAGTTCTGGGCATTTAAAGATTATGCTTCATGTCCTAACGAGACTTGAGATTCAGTGCTCCAGGGAGACAGGAGGTGTTCACGCCTCACTCAGCACCAGAGGAGTGGTCCCAACTATGGGAAGCATTGCTTCATGGGGTCGTTCAGGAAACCCGGCTCCTCCAACATCCCTCATTGTCCAGTCCGGGCAAAGCCAGGAGTCCAAAATCAGTTTCCCGTTGAGCAAACGAGCCTTCACTTCGTTTGCCTTTTATTGGTGTGAATTCTTGAGCTGGGCGGCCTGTGCCTGCGAAGAAGGGGCAGGATGGTCTGTATCGCCCCTCAGAGGTGAGTTTCGGAGGCTGCCTGAGAGTTTAAATCCAGGAAAAACGTCTCTTGAGGAGCAGGCCCAGGTTTGGAGAAACCTTCTCCATAACATAGAGGCTCCTTGGGTGTAATTAATGTGGCCCAGTGGGCGTCGGGACCTCTGATAGACTTGGGGTGCGGGTCTCTTTATTCTTTAAGAAAGCATATTTTAAATGAAAAAGCAAAATATATGTAGTTTTAAAAAACAGTACAGGGGCCAGCCCCGTGTCTGAGTGGTTAAGTTCACGTGCTCTGCTTTGGTGGCCCAGGGTTTCGCTGGTTCAGATCCTGGGTGTGGACATGGCACCGCTCATCAGGCCATGTTGAGGCAGTGTCCCACATGCCACAACTAGAAGGACCCACAACTAGAATATACAATTGTGTACTGGGGGGCCTTGGGGAGAAGAAGAAAAACAACCCCAAACATTGGCAACAGATGTTAACTCAGGTGCCAATCTTTAAAAAAAAACAAAAACACAGAGTACAAAAGGATATACAAAGAAAACTAGTTTCCGTCTGGCTGGTTTGACAGTTTGCACGTTTCTGCATTTCTTCTGGCTCAAGAAGCAGCCAGAGGACAACAACCTTCCCATCCTGGCGGCCGTGGGCTTGCTGACACTCCCAGAGAGCAGCTCAGAGGGAGCCCGGGTCCGCCGAGGCTGGAGTAACTGATGCTTTGTGCCTTCTTCAGCATGCAGGGCCCTGATGGACGAGCTGGAGTATGACGTCACCAAGGCTCGGCAGAAGAAGACCAAGGTGGGCTCCTTCCGAGTAAATCCTGACGGGACGCAGGAGAGGAGAAAGGTAGCGGAAAAGAAATTATGTGCCAGTGTATAATTGCGGATATGGGCAATTACCAAGCATTTATCCAAACAGCAGTTGGTCTTAATCTTCTAACCTTTCTCTTGTTCAGGGTATCAGCTCTAAATTGCTTCTGAGTCCTGGGGGACCCAAAGTAATCTTTAAGCTTGAAATTGAAGTCTCTCTCCCAGCACCTAAATTTTGTGTCTTGTCAAGTCGGAAGACATTTCGGCACTATTGTTCATCAGGATAAAAATATCGCTTCCATGGTTCTTAGGCGAGGCCAGCAGGGGGCCCAGAGCAGCTCTGGGGGCTGCCTGGAGACGCTCAAAGGCTGAGCACCCTCTCCAGTCTCCCCCCACTCAAGGATCTGCAGAGATTTCTCATAGGGGTAAGGATGCAAGGCCCACCCCCGGGGCAGGCTCAGGCACTTGTCTGAGGGGAGAGAAAGAGGCAATCCAGAGAGGGGCCCGCCCTGAGCACCCGATGGGGGCTGGGAGGGTGGGGTCAGGCCACTGTGAATGCGGCTCCTGTCTCCTCCCGCCCCAGCACCCAGGTTGTGAGTGCTCAGAACACGGACGCCAACTCCAGTGTCGTCCTAAGGGAAGTGTGGTTGGAAAAGTTGTTCCACGATATCTTCCAACACAGAGCGAAACAGAAACTGTTTTTGGGTGTCTTGCTGTTTTGTTCTGTCCCAGCACACTGCGCCCTATTTCAGAACATAACTTCGAGGGGGCCAGCTGTACCTTCTCCGCCCCTTTCTGGAACTGTGTGCTCATCTGGAGAGGACGGGGGTATGTGTGGGGAGAATAGCACACCTTTACAGAGCGTGAGGTTTTAACTGGCCTGAGTCAGGAGTGTTCCCGTGGGAGGGCGGGACATGCATTCCCAAGTCAGCGCGTCGCCCACGGAGGAGTGTGGGGGGCTTGGGGTCTTTCCTGGGCTCAGCACTTCCCAAAGTTACACAAAGACGGCCTGTTGTAGTCATACCGGTCAGGGCACCTCCCCAGAAGGGCCGTGATGACAGCCGACAGCGGTGCGTGTCCACGGCGGCCCCACTGCAGACCTCGTTCCCTGTGTCCAGGGATCCCGAGGCCCCGTGTGGTCACAGCAAACTGCAAGGAAGGGGCAGCCCTGGTCCCTGACACCAGCCACAGTGGATTTGACCCGTGAGGCAGGGCCCGGGAAGATGTGTGTGTGCACCGATGCAGCGTCAAAAACAAACGGAGTGCTATCACCATAGGTTAAAATGTGGGTCATCTGATCCACTCTTAGTGCATCTGGATCAGGAGGAAGGAGGAAGTCCTTCTCTAAGGGGTAAAGGGCAAAAGAGAGGGACTCAGGGGACACTGGAGAGCTGAGGAGGGGGAGGGGCAGGGGCTGGGCCGCGGGTCCCTGGGGGGACAAGGGGAAGCTGGTGGTTCTTTATTGTGAACCTGCTGGATCACAGCCTTGAAATGATGTCTAGGCCTGATAGCAATCTGCAAAATAAATAGGGCCCCTATTTTCCCAGTGAGAACGTGCAGAGCCGCTTAAGTGGCTCCCGGGTCTGGGGGTGAGTGGAGGGCCACGCCGGGGCTCGTCAGTGCAAACCCGGGCCCTCCAGCCATCGTCCTCGCCCGCACACTGGGTCATCTTTCCTGGGGTCCAGGCTTAGGTGCCCCGAGCCCTCCCCACAGGGCCTCAGGTTCACCTGGAGAAAATGGCCTGCGCTCCCCTCCCTCCCGTGGTCTAGGATATGCCACTTCGAAACAAGCAAGTTGAAATAACTTTTTCAGCCTTGCCACAAGTACTGGGTCTGCAGAGTGGTTTGAAGGCCGTCATCTTGCTGTGTTCATCGTTTGACCAGGGTCGCCTCACGGTCGCGGCCACCATGAGCAGGGCTGCCCCGGCTCATCTTTCCACTTGGAACTGCTGCCTGGCTATCGGGCCAGGCGCAGCCTCACAGGAGCAGCCTCTCCTGCAGGCCTGGGGCGGGCCTGTGGTGCCGGGAGAGGCTGGACTCGAAGGCCCCCATGTCTTCGAATGGTGTGGCTTTGGGGTCAAGGATGGAGGTCATTTTTCCGGCCTCGGGCCAACTCACAGCAGAATGATGCCAATGGCTCCCACGCTTGAAAGAACCCGTGGTCTTCCCCAGGAAGCTACCGGAATGCCTGGCTTCCTCCCACTCAGAGAACCCTCCCTGCCGTGGTTGGAAACCCTGTGGCTTTGTTTCCTTCAGCTGGTGGCTGCTTGGCCTGGCTTGAAATGCAGGGCGGCCTGGTGTAGGGATTCGGCCTTCCCTGCCCGCCTTGGATGTGGCAGCTGGGCTGTGGGCCTCTCGGTCCAGAGGCATTTCTCTGTCCTTCTGCCATGAGCTCAGGGATGCATGCGCTCGGCTTGGTGCTGGGAGAACAAAAGAAGTACTAGCAGCCGCCTCCGATGGCAGGGGGTGCTTGGGCAGGAGGCCCCCGGCCAGGAGAGGCCTCAGAGGCCGGGGGCGTTTCCTGGGTCCCGGGGACACCACTGGCCAGAAGGGTGACACCACACATCTCCCTGGCTTTTTCTTTTCCTTTTTCCTGCTGTGTTTCTCCAAGGATGGAAGGAGGCACCGGTCCACACCTGTGTCGTCAGAGCTGAGGGAGCAAGCATCTCACGCAGGATCCCTGGGGAGCCGGCCCCCCTCAGAGGGAGGGTGGGAGGCCCCAGAATCTGTTTTCTGAGGGGCGGGGGGTGAGGTGACAGGGGTGAGGGAGGTGGGGGGATCAGGTGGTGGCCTTTCTGCACGGCGTGGACGAAAAATGCACAAATTGGCCATGTTCGCGCAAGGCTCTTCTGGCCACGGTTGGGGTCAGTCTGGGGAGGGCGGCATGGACAGGAGGGGGGACCAGCTCCCCGGGGCCAGGTCTCGTCGGCGAGAAGATCGAGGGCTCCTGTGGCATATTCCGCCCCCAGAGCCTGGCCAGGGAGAAAGCGCCCTGTGTGGTGGCTGCAGACCACAGACTATTCCAGCGAGCTCCATCTCCGTGGCCGTGGGCTCGGGGACAGCGAAGGGCAGGGCGCAGGTGCCGGAGGGAGCCTGTGTGTCCTGCAGACAGCCTGCAGTTCTGCTGTCCCAGCGGCCGAGGCGGCACCACCCCAGCCCGTCCTGGTGCCCCGGCGCCCGTCCTGCCCTTCTCGGCTCCTCTGCCTCTGGCACTTTCTCGACTCTCCAGCCTCTGCGTGAGCAGCTCTAGGGCCCAGAGAGCCTGTGCTGACCCTCGAGTCCTGGCAGCGGAGCCCCAGCAGTGGTCAAGGAGCCTCGGCAAGCCCCCTGCCCGCCCCCTCCCGCCCCCCGGGCACTCAGAGCCCCCTGAAGTGCTGTCACCTGCAGCAGTCAGCCTGCCACCCTTCCCCACCGCTGGACCCGCTTTGCTTTGGCTCGGCCACACCGTCTCGTTGTTCCTCTCTGCTCTGAGCCCTTGTCCTGGCCTTTCCTCGCTCGGCTCCACACACCTGTGAGCAAGAGGTGCCTGCCCTGGGGTCACTAGCTGGAGCCACAGATCCCCAGGCATGGTCACCTGCAGGATGCTGGGAGGTGGGAGTGTCAGGAGAGCTGGCCTTGAGAGGACAGGGCGGGACTAGGGTAGGAACGGGGTCGGGGTCAGGAGGGGGTCCAGGTTTGGGGTGGGGTGAGGAGCTGTAGCCAATGGAGCCGCTCCGTCCCCTGGGGCTCCCGTGGAGCGGGAAGGGCCTGAACTCAGGGCGGGGGCCCCAGGGAAGGGTTTGAAGGACTCCCTCCTCAGTGGGAGCAACTCTCAGGCTCTTCACCGCCTCTGGAAGGGCCCCAGTGGAATGAGGCTCCAGCCACCGCTCGAGGACAGACCTCTCTCGGCCGCCCTCCCTTCCTCTCTCACTACCCTGCCCCTCTGTGTTTGGGGACCTGCCAGATGAAGGCCCCACCAAGACAGTCGCGAAGGCCCCCTGCGGGGAGCTGGCCCCGGGGGTCCGGCACAGTCTGAGCACCCCTCCTTTGAGATGTGCTCGTCAAGGCGAGTGGTAAACTGGGCGTTGCCTGGGAGGGCCCCAGATCCACCATCAGCTCTCCACCCCGGCCTGGGTGGGCAGCGAGACCGCGGTGGAGACGGCCCCGTTTTCTCAGAGTTGTGACCCAGCAAGGCCTAGGGACAGTCGCCCTACAGACTCAGTGGACAGCGAGGGTTCGGGGTTCAAAGCCAGGCTGGGGCTCCCTGGCCTGACCCGGGGCTGCCCCAATGTTTGGTGAGAGGGGAGGCCGTGTGGCGCTGGGCGCCATGAGGAAACGAGTCTCATTTGCTTTACGGGCATTGTGGTCCTCCGGGCAGCTTGGCCATCTTCCGTGTCCTCGATTTTAGGGACAGCCTATAAAGCAGGTCACGGAAGTCATGGCGATTTCGTGACGTGCCACGTACGCAGACCACGATCCCCCGAGATTTACGGGGCTTCGTCGGAAATGTTCTTTTCCTCAAGAAGAAAGAGTGTGCACGCAGCGACATGCGCTTGCTGTCCTTTGATGAGATGCACGCACATTTCCCCCGGCGCGGGGTGCCTCCACCGCGAGCGGGAACAGAGACGGTCTGCCCCCTGCGCTCAAGTCGCGGGTTCGGGGAGCCGGGCGCTGGTGACAGGCGGGGACGCGCCCGCCTGATGTCCCCTGAGACGCCACCGAGCCACGTCTGATTGGCAAGCTGCAGCCAGCCTTTCCTCACCCAGGCGGCTTTTCCTTTATCTTGAGCAAGTTGGATTAATGGCAGTTTTACTAAAACGCGGTTGCAACGCAGCTCAATGCGATCCAGGGGCGGGGGTTTTCTGCTCGCTTCTCAGGCAAGTGATTCTGCCCCTGCCTGAAAGTCACAGACGCCTGCCCTGCAGGAGCCAGAGGGTGAGGGACGTCTGTTCTCCTGAGGGGGCCCTGCGTCCGGAAGCAGGGGCCTGTGGGCTCACTGCTGCTGTCACTTGTCCGCACTCTGGATGGGCATCCGCAGCCCTCTCCACTTGTCACCTAG